TGTTTTCCAGTTTATTTTTACTAAAAAGATTCCTGATTTTAATGAAATGATATTATTATCATTATTATTCTCTTAACTTCAACCGGTAATTATAGATTCGATGTGTTTTTTTTTGTTTAATCATTGATATTAATTTTTTTGATCGATTGAAATGCAAATATAAATATATTAATCGATCGAGGTATGAATTAGACGATCTCATTGATTAAGGGATTGCTAATATTACTCGACGTCTGAGTTTGAGCACCACATTTGTAGGAATGTGTGAGCCTTCATTGATAAATTGTGAGGTCTTTTGAACATATACTATATTATGTTTCATACAAATCTAATTAAGGATTGCGGACGTCGGTTTTATTCAAATGTACATCCCTAGCTCCGATATTATGCTATATTAAGTAAAATTAAAGAATAAAGGGTAAATTACGTGTTTAGTACCTAAACTATTGAGTTTGATCCGTTTCAATACCTAAATCTTCAATTTCTTTCAAAACCATATATGAAGTTTAATTTTTGTTTCATTTTAGTACCCGTCGTTAAAAACTTTAGTTTTTGTTTCATTTTAGAATCCCGTTCAAAATTTAACTTTAAGTTTTGAAAAGATTAAAAGTTTAGGTACTAAAACGTACTAAAAATAACAATTTAGGTACTAATCGAATTAAGTTTTTAACGATGGGGCATTAAAATGAAATGAAGACTAAACGTCATATATGCTTTTGAAAATTTTGAAAGCTTAAATATTAAAAATGACCAAAACTAATAGTTTAGGTACTAAATGTATTGTTCTCCATTTTTTCCAAGCTTCTAAACTCATCATTGATGGAAGTTGGAGAGGGGCCATAATTTTTCTAAAATTGTGGGGCTTATATATCCTTATGGAATAAAAAGCTTTTAGCCTTGAGAAATTATTTTATTCTTGTGGGGACTAAATGATTACAAGTACGCCAAATAAATGAATCAAATTATCAACTTCATAAAATTTCAAAAAAAAAATTACGAAAGCCTTAATATACAACTAAAAAAATGTCTTATCGAAAATGTTAATATTTTTTTAATATTTTTGATTAAGCGCTACCTAAAACATTATTTTTTTACCGGAAATGTTAATTTCGCTACCTCATTCCAGTAGCAAAAATAACATTTTAGGTAGCGTCCAATATTAATGGTTCCGGTAGAAAAAATAATGTTTAGGTAGCACTTATCGGAAATGTTAAACATTTTAGGTAGCGCCCAATATTAACATTTCCGGTAGAAAAAAAATAATGTTTTAGGTAGCGTTTTACCGAAAATGTTAAAAAATATAAACATTTTCGGAAACATCTTTTCTTAGCCGTATATTAAGGTTGTTGTACCTTAGACACCCCGTATTTTGTTCAGATTTCAATTTTTAATAAAAAAAATCGAGTTTAATTTAGCTCGATAAAAAAATAATTTTTACTTGAAAAATATATATATATATATATATATATATGAGACTATTAAATGATCTCAGTGGTGAAAAGAATGTGTTTTTTTCCTTAACGATTCGAGTTTAAATAGTTGTGTTTGTAGGATTTGCGCGTGTTGTCAATCTTTAAGAAAGATTCTGAATCAAATTAGTCGTGCTTTGACACGTTGATATTTACGTATCAATTGTACTTAATTAGGGTTTTTAACCTAAACATGTTTTTAATAATGTAATAGTTTTTTTGTGTGTTAAACTTACTAATAAAAATAAAAAATAATTAATAATTAATAAAATAAAAATACAAAATAAAATTAAGCCACTCATTTTACATGAGAATCAAATTTATCTTTCCAACATAAAATTCTATATTTTTATCATTTCAAATATGTGCATTATGATCATTTTTTATGATTAATTTAGTTGTGAGCTAATGATGGATAACTAAAGGGAAAATTTCTTCAAAGATCGGGTCGAATTGGAGCGTAATAAAAAAAATCCACTCTTTTATTCAAGGGTAAACTATACTTTTAGTACCTAAACTATCCATTTTGTTTTGTCATGGTACCTAAACTTTCATTTGTTTAAAAACTATACCTAATGTTTACTTTTTGCTTCATTTTAGTACATTGTCGTTAAAAATTTATCGGTAATTTTCATGGATAAATTACATCATTCATCACTCAACTATCTTCTCACTCCTATTTTAGTCATTAAATTTTAAAAAATTTCAATTTAACTAAACTTTCAAGTTACTCCTATTTTAATCACTCTACTTTGTTTTATTAATATTTTTTGTGTCACGACATTTTATTATTATTTTATTAATATATAACTAAAAATTTTTTGGAAGTTAGAGTGATTAAATTTGGAGTAATATGAAAGTTAAATAATTAAATTAAAAGAATCTAAACTTTAGTGACCAATACAAGAGTGAGAAGATAGTTGAGTGATGAAGGATATAAATTACCCATAAAAAAGGTGCCATGTACAACTCACCCGTTAAGTTTTTAACGGCGGGGTACTAAAATGAAAAAAAAAGTAAACATTAGATATGGTTTTGAAACAAATGAAAGCTTAGTTACTAAAACGAAACAAATTTGATAGTTTAAGCATTTAATGTGTACTTTCCTAATTTATTTAAAATAAAAATAATATTCTTTTGTAAAATCAATGATATTTGATTCATTAGTCTTAAATCGAATTAATTATGGTAATACATATTATGAGGGTGATCCTCTCAACTTAACCTTCTTTATTTATAATAACAAGATTCGAACATTTAACTTTATTTAGACGACCTAATGTCAGATTAAATAACTAATCCTAAAAGGGATTAGAAAGCTAAATTCTAACCCATTTCACTGTAATTTGCATCCCTAACAACAGGCCAATGCTTGTCTTTTGAACATGTTTTTATTATTAGTAATAGTATATTAATTAAAGTTTTTTTAAATAAAAATAGAATTTATGTTGTTTTTCTCAAAGTTCGAAATTGCTGCAAACACAATTCACTTTGGTCCCCTTTGTTGAAAACAATTGTAGGCCATGATCTGCCCCACCTACAAAGTATAGTTTAAAGGTAAGTACTTTTAATAATATTTTTAGTTGACTTTAGACCCAAGAAAGAATATTAAGTGGAAGCATTAAAGTGTAAATTAAAGAATAATTGATAATGAAAATTGTTTTTTATTTAAATATTTTTTAAGAAAAATAAAATAAGTGTACCACTTTTCTAAAAAATAGTTGTCAAATTAAAAAAATTAAAGAACAACACATTCTATCATAATGAATTAAAAATAAGAGTAAATTACAAATTCCATCACTCAGCTTTCTTACCACACCTATTTGGTCACTCGAGCATTAACAACAAGTGACATGGCACCTACGTGTGCTGACATGGACTATTTATTGCTGACACGACATCCACTTGTCATCCATATCATTTTGCCTTTTATTTCCTTTTATTTTATTTTATCTTCTTCTCTCATGGGGGAAGTTATGCAATTTCGTCCTTGTATCATGTTGGTGTTGAAATCTCATTCTGTAGCATCTCTCCGACCACTCAAGACATTGATGAACTCGTTTCATTATCTTTGACCACTCAATCAATTTAGATTTTTCCAAATTCACATTGAAACTCATGAAACTCAACCCAAAACTTAAAACTTATGAAACATTAAACCACTTCGATCTACAATTTCCACCATTCAATCAGCTTGAACTCAAAATATATAGCTCACTTCATCCTTCTTCACCTCCCTACCGTTGAGATTTGAAAGCAGATGTTACATCGTTGAGAAATTAAAAGAACCCAAAATTAGGGTTTCTTCACAAAAGTGATAAAAGTTTTGAGGTTATTTCATGATTTTTAAAATTCAAATGTCTATTCATAACGACGGTAGTGTGAACAAAATAGGAGTAAATCGAAAGTTCAATGAGTAAAATGAAATTTTTAAACTTTAACAACCAAAATAATGAAAAGAAAGTTGAGTGATGAAATTTGTAATTTACCCTAAAAATAAACGAAACATATGAAGGCTTTTGAATTCATTTATCTAATTAAAATAGTTTTAAATTATTAATGTTATTCAATATGAACACACAATTTATGGGGTTTTCCAGCTAAAGAGAGTCATGATTTTGCCTTTATGTAGAAGAAACTTTTTTGCCTTTGCATGGTAATGATAATTTATGATCACCTCATGAAATAAAATAAAATAAAATAAAATAATAGAATTATGTAGCACAAGAAAGAGATTTAAAGAAGAAAAAAACATTCCCCTTTATACTTAAAATGATTAAACTAATAAAGAAAATAACTCAAATTTGATAATTTTTTCATTAAACTATAAAGATGAAATTTTCAATGCATTATTATTATGGTATTATATAATCGATAGCGGAATTAAATTAGAATCGAAGTTACGTAGATATTTTATAGTGCTATAGGTGCATGTGATCTAAATTTGATTAAAAATAGACTTAAAATGAAGAAGGGTTGAGAAAAAAATGAAAAAAATGTAAAATTAGGGGACTAAATCAGAAAGAGAGAAAATATATGTCAAAAGAGGAAATGAACTAGATAAGTATTCTATGATGATTGAAAAGCATGTGATTGAGATTTTGATTAAAAAATTAGACTTAAAACAAATGAGGTTTTGTTATTATTTAAATAACAAAACCGGTAAAAAATTACCAAACATCAATATTTTTTAACGTTTCCGGTAAAGTGTCCAACAATAACAAAATCGATAGAAAAATTAACAAAACCGGTAGAAATAATAATGTTTATGGTAATTTTTTACCGATTTTATTATTATTTTTTTAACTGTATATTAAGGTTGTTGCATGTGATCATTTATCGAGATTGGAGAAACAAGAAAATTAATAATTAAATCACAAAACTATCATATTACTTAGCTAAAGGTCAAAACGACGTCGGTATTTATATATCTTCCTTTTTCCCTGCTGTATTTATATAACTTCCTTCCCCTGCTTTCAACTAAAAGCAATTTCCTCCGTATATTCTCAACTCCCTTTGCTTATTTCAACAATGGAGAACAATGAAAAATGCGCACAATTCTCATCTTCTTCTTCGCCGCGTTTTCCTTCTCCCAACTCTCAATCTCCTCCGCGGCCCGCTTCTCCCGCTCCGCTGCCCACGGTTGTCCTCAGCCCTTGCGCCGCCTGCAAAATCCTTCGACGCCGCTGCGTCGAGAGGTGCGTTTTAGCTCCTTATTTTCCTCCGACCGAGCCTTACAAATTCACCATTGCTCATCGAGTTTTCGGAGCTAGCAATATCATCAAATCTTTGCAGGTACAAAATTTCCTCTTCTCTTTTAATTTTTCTTCTTCAAAACTGTCATTTTTAACCTGTTTTTAACAAAACTAAGATCAACATTTTCATTTATTTTTACGAGTTTTCTTTCAAAATCATAATTATATTAATAAATATATAAATTATTTCATACGTTACTGAGAATATATTAAGACGAAAATGTACTAATGGAATTATTTATAATTAATTAAACATTCCAAATAATTACTTAATTTAACAATTAATTTAACAAGGGCAGAAGTTTTCTCAAAATTCTAGTTTTCATGTTCATGATTTAATTTGGATTAAATTGGATAGTAGCTCAAATTTGGATTAAATCCAACCTATTTGAATAGTTAAATTATTATTTAATATTTGACCAACTTGACCTCGAACTTTGATCCAGATCGACCCGATAATCCATATAATTGTTAAAAATGTAAAAGAAATACAATTAAGGTAAATTTGTGTTTAATACTTAAATTATCATTTTTGATCCGTTTTAGTATCTACACTTTTAACTTTTAATTTTTTTAAACTACACCTAAAATTTATTTTTTTGTTTCATTTTAGTATCCGTTCAAAATTTGATGTTAAGTTTTGAAAACAATTGAAAGTTTACGTACTAAAACAGAACAAAATTAATAGTTTAAGGACTAAATGAGTTAAGTTTTTAATGACGAGATGGTAAAATGAAACAAAAAATAAATGTTAGGTATAATTTTGAATAAAAATTGAAAGTTTAGGAACTAAAACATATCAAAATTGGTGATTTAAGTACTAAATGTATAATTTAACCATAAAAATATCACTACCAAATAATAACTTTAACCAAACCAATCTAAATTTACAAAATCTTATCCAAAACTTAATTCGAACAAGCCGGAATATATCAAATCTTGATAGATAATCAAATTTTTAAACATGCTCAATTAATTTTACAAACTAAAAGTGATTCTCTCTCTCTACCATTTCAGGAACTTCCGGAGTCGCACAGAGCCGACGCCGTAAGCAGCATGGTGTATGAGGCGAGCACTCGGATCCGAGACCCCGTGTACGGTTGCGCCGGGGCCGTATGCCAGCTCCAAAAGCAAGTGAGTGAACTCCAAGCGCAGCTCGCCAAGGCGCAAGCCGAGACCGTCACGATGCAATGCCAACAAGCCAATTTGCTAGCGATTATATTGGAAATGACTCGATCCAAAGAACCCAACAACATCAATTCTCAGCAAATTGATACCACTTGTTTTCTGGATGACAATAATCTTGCTTCAGCTTGGGAGCCTCTTTGGACGTGATGGACAATTAGTCATGATAATTATAGATATTAAGAGGGATAAAGAATTAAATTAAATTATCTCATTCGTATTTGTATTTGTATTTGTAGTTAGAGTATCTTCAATGAAGTAATTTAGTTTTTGTATTACTATTTGTAGTTACGAATTTTTGGTGGGTGAGTTTCCGAGCTAGGGATGGACCAAGGAGAGCGGGCGGTCGCCCCCTGAAAATCTAAAATTATCATATATTTTAAATTTTTTTTGTGTATTTTCTACTAAAAATTTGTTTTCCCCCTCTAAAATTTTATAAGTTTAAGTTCGCCCCCTAATAAAAAATCCTATGTCCGTCCCTGCTCCCAGCGGAGATTTTTTTTTGCATACACAAGGACTCAAACCTGAGATCTTACTTAAGCGATATTAAACTGCTTATCACTTGAACCAACTCTGTCGGTAAAATCCAAATTTGTTAAAAAAAAGGAAACAATACAATGAACTAATTGCAAAGTTACTTATAATAATGTGTGGTATTATTTACTTTTTGTTCTTTTGGTCTAGGTTTGAATACATTCTAATGTTTGACTCTCATTATGCATGGGCTTGTTTAGATTTATCATAATTTATATTCAAATACATTCTAGATATTACCTTTTTACAATGTAACGATTCCCTCATGTCCGATTCAATATGTATTGACTAGAAGATTTAAAGGTTGGTTTAAGCTAAAAATCGATCAATTTGATATTGATTTAATCTGAAAAATGGATCAATTTAATACTGATCTGAATCGATATCCAACTCGATTCGACATATCATAGACTAAAACTAAATCTAAACCAGATCTGATATTAACCCAATCGAGCCAAAATTGAATGTTGTTCAAACCTAAAATAACTCAACCCACACCCGATCATCGTATTTGAATAATCATTTTTATTAAAATAAAAATACATGAAAATCATTAAATCAACATTTTTTTGTTATATACAAAATTAGAGGTAGCAATATCCTTCATATTTTTTAAGGTATAATGATAAAATTAGTCTTTATTATTTGTTTAAATGGTCTCTTTGACTTATTATTTTTTTAGAGTATTTTAATTTCAATGTTTTAATTTTTTTGTTAAAATAGTCTCTGTTGAATAAAAACTGTTACTTGACTAACAATCAACGCATGTTATGATGACGTGATACATATCATATGTCATTACTTTAAATGATGTGATATATATCAATTTATCATTTTGGGCGACATGTCACATTATATACATAACATTTTAGATGATGTGACATATATTACGTCATTACTTTGGATGATATAATACATGTTGATTGAGTGCTTTGAGTTTTGTAACATGTACAACATTATTTTGAATGACATGACATACTACATCATTACTTTAGTAATATTATATGTGATGTATAAACAACAAAACACGTGAAAATATCATCTTAACGATATGCATCGACCGTTATCAACTAATAGTTCCATCCATCATGAATTACTTTGACCAAAAATTAGAACAATAGAAACTAAAATACTTTAAAAATAATAAGGGTCAAAATGAAATTTAGACAAAAATTAAGGGCTAAGCTTTAAATTAAAGATTAATACACTTTTAAACCCTCTATCTTCAAAATATTATAACAACAGTGATACTAAAACTAAGATTTAAGTGCAAAAAATCATATTGAAGCCGCTAATAAATAAATAGTTGTTTCCACCCTAAAACCTTCAACAATATACGAAAACCCTTGCCCGATCTCCTTTCCTTATCACTCTTAACATTTTCCGATCGGCCGCCATCACCATCGCCGTCACCGTCACCGCTTGGTGATCGGAACTTCATCGTCGTATATTTCCTGCTCTGTCTCATCTTCATATCCTTAAGCTCAATCTCCATCGGGAACCTTCCAACTCCAAATGCAAAAAAATACCACCTTGATTTAACTGGAGTCGACACTTTCTTGACCGGAAAATCAAACTTCTCATCACTGAATTTCCCGTATTTGTTCTTGGAAACCGAAGCCGGCATTGAAAACGACTTGTTGAAACTCTGTCTCTCTGATTCTTTCGTTGATTTTGATGAAGGAAATGTTCTCGACTTGTTGAATAATGAAGGCGACGACGATGAAGTTTTCCAGGGAAACAAACAGCCGTTTCCGCAGCTGAAATTCTTCCTTTTCTCGTGATTTTCTCTCTCGGTTCTGAACTTTGGTATCTGGGATTTGTTGCCAGCATTGGGTTGACTTTCTCTGGAAGAAATGATTTTCCCACAGAAAATGATGTTGTTTCCCGGGGAAATTGAAGCCGAAGCAGGAAGATCTTCACTGGAAAACTCAAACGAATCGCCATTCTCATCTTGCTTTGGGGAACAATCATCATCGTCGTCCCAGAACTCATTTGAACGATCACTTTCCATCACGAGATCGCAAAGAGAAAGTGTTTCTTCATTGTATTCATCACCAAAATCTTTCCAGGAATCTTTGATTCGTTGCATGTTTTTCCCAGGCTTATGATTCAACTTCCCAGCGCCTATTGAGAGAAGTACTAACAAAATCAAGAAAGATGAACAACAAAGTATACTATCACGAAAACAAGGGTTGTTTTCATGAAAAAAGAAGTTCTAATGGAAGAACAAGTTAGAAATACATACACATATATATACACACAATATATATATATTTAGACGGCTTCTAGAGGAATACAAATAAGCCAGCTTTTAAAAATAATCCTAGGGTTTATGGTTTAATATTTATCTAGAGAGAGAAAAATGTTTGGTTGATGTTGGAATCAGGGTTTTAAATAGAATTTGCGGTCATATTTTTGGTCGCGTTGTGTTTATCACTGTTGCAGATATAACGGATGCTATTGCAGTCACTACAGATATCGCGATCGTGAATTTTTTTTTGAAAGAGCTGAATTTTTTAATAAAAAACCCATTTTTCAATTAAAACAACGTATTAATAGTGGAATAGTGGTTCGCTATTGCTACGATTGACCGCAATCTATTAAATTGCGGTCGCGATCCGCCGCTATTGATGTGATCCCGCTTAACACCGTTATTTTCCGTGAATAGCGGTTTTAGACACCGCCACGACTGTAATATAACGGCCGCGATACCGCTATTCGGTCGCTATTTGAAACCCTAATTGAAATTTTCAATTATGTACCTGAATTGAATCTTGACGTTGTGGATAAAATAAACTGAATTGTAAAAGTTGTTTGCTATATTGAGAATTGATGATATTTAATCTAAACTAATCAATTAATGGATCTAATACAATCGTATCGATTATTAAAAAATATATAATGATGGTCAATTTCACTTATAGTCTGTTATTAATAGGGGTGTGTATTTGACATTAACCAGATGATTTCTGTCCCGAACCAATCTTACAAGCATGGGCAAACTTGGAATTTATTATAGCGGGGTTAAAATATTTTTTATTTTTCATAAATACAATTTTCTTAATTGAGGGATCTGATAAATTTTTCTTTATTTATTTTTAAATATATAATTTTTTCTATATTAATTAATAATTAAAAATATAACTCCCCTTGGCCCCCGCGATGTTCCAACCAAACTTATAGGGTTAGTTTAAAAAAATCGAGTTCATGTCAATTCAGGTTCTTTAGAAGGTAAGGTCAGACTGGATTTAGATTTAGGATAAAAAAGGTCAGACCTAAGAATAATAGTATAATTGACCTCTATATTTATAGATAATTGCTATAATACTCTTCATCTATATAATTTTTCAACTAAATCCCTATTGTACTTAATAAAAATGAGAATTATATATATATTATATGTATGTGTCGAGTCGAATTGAATGCAGGTGCGGATGCATATTTTTATCTTAAAAGTTAAGTCGAGTTTTAGGTCCGGTGAAATTTCTCTAAATTCAAATTGTCTCGGACGAAGTATAAGATATGTTATGTTCCAAGGTCGAATGACCGAAAATCTCTACCTGACCTATAATAATCCTAATTCTAAGTGAATTAAATAATAATTTATATATTTAGACTTCTAGAGGGTGGCTTTTTGTAGGCGAATTTTCTTTTCATGGGATTGAATTTATTTAATAATATAATAAAATAAGATGTTATTTAATAATAAAGTGTCTAACATAATTAAATGGAAAAATATTTATTTATAATATATTGTTTTTGAAGAATGGTCAAAGTACCTTGAGATTGTGAAGGTTCTAAATTAGTCAGTTATTTGAGTCCAATGGACGAAGCATACCAATGCGAATTTGGAATATTTTCTAATTTATAGAACTAAAGTTTCTTTAATCAATTCAGAAGTTATCAAATCTATTGAGCTTTTCTTAAAGGATGGAAGAGAGTGTCGTTGTTCGTAGAAATCTCGAATTCAAATAGTTATGTTTTTAGAGTATGTGTGCGTGCGTTCGTTATTAATTGACTAAAGAATATTTTGAACAAATACCATTCTAGACTGACTAAAAAGAAGTCGTCATGTTATTTTTACCATGTATAAAAAGCTACTCTACAATAATTTTACACCAACGTATTAGATAGAGGATAAAGTACATAAATGGTCTCTCGACTACATGGTATTACTTTATTAAGTCCTTCAACTATTAAAAATTACAAAATGGTCCTATGACTATAGAGTGTTGCTTTGTTGAGTCCCTCGAATATTCAAAGTTACAAAATGGCAACCGACTATTCATAATGTTTCAAATTATTCCTTTTCCATTAAAAACTGATGATTGTCAAAGCTGGAAATTAACATGATGACTAAGATATGATAGTCATTTGAGATTATGAGATCATATTTTATCATATCACAGTCAACAAGTTAACGTCGAGCTTAGAATATCGTAATTTTTTTTACGAAAAATAACGAGTTTGGAACATAATAAATAGTCAGGTGACCATTTTGTATTTTTTAATAGTCAAGCTACTCAACAAAGAAACACACTTAGTCAGAGGACCATTTTATAACTTTTAATAGTCGGATGACTTAATAAAGCAATATCTTATAGTCAGGGGACCATTTGTGTAATTTACCCTTAGATAAAATGG